GATTGGTTGAGTTCATTAAGTGTACGAAAAGAATCGACGAGCAGGAAGCACAATGGAAGGTATTCATAATAAACATACCTGGGAAATAATGCATGTTTAATATGATGTATTCGTTGTCGAAATGAAACACCATCAACAATCGATTCCAAAATATATCCAAACAATAAATTGCCCAATACTATTCCATGCAGAATTATAACAAAATAAACTGAAGGAAAACGACAAAGCTGAAAACAAAACAACAAAATCAATAACAACATAGACAGTCCCCACAATATTTACAGTCTGAAACATTTCTTTACCAATGTAAAAACATGATAATAAAACTGTTCAGCTCTTCTCAAAGTCTTTCAGAAGAGTCTTCTCTGTCAAGAATTGACACCCAAACTATATGCAAGGAGTAAAGAAAAAGCGCATTAACCATTCCCCACATTACAATACTATAAAGGACGATGTGAATAGAACTCTTGGCTAACATTTCAAAATAATGATAATCTATGAGTTTATTTTATCCACTGAGTCAGTCATTCAGATGCAACGTAGAACTTTGTACGTAAGTACATCAGTTCATGTTGCCATGCCAACTGACTCAGTAATAAGAGAGAATTAAAACATAACCCTATCATTCAACTATTGGAACTGACTAGTTGATAACACTAATACCTAGGAGAGAATTCGAAATGTAGAATCGCGAAATTTCAGAGATGAATTACACATACCGCATTAGATTTATTCACATAAAACGTCTTCAGCATCAAGATGCATGCCTGCATCAGTTAGAAATAATTATTTTTACATATTTTACTTAAATTAAACCATCAGAAGATTGTTGGCTGGCTATTCTCAATGAGAATCTTTATGTGACAAATAATTCGACAAGAATATATCCAATATTACACGTACAGATTTTTAGAACTAAAGTATGACGATTACACTCGCATTACAGCATAGACACCATAACATAGTTGTTTTGCATAGTACAACTCAGATAATCAAATACAGATGGTACCAGTACTCAAGAAGGCTAAAAGCAAACTTTTCTGCATACAGCTTACGAATACTATTCACCTACCTAAATTGAATCAACAACAACCAATACGACGATGCGGTAAAAATAATAATAATAACAGTAACAATAATAATAATAATAATAAGAACAATCTAACAGTCTGTTCGGAGAAGTACAACGTAGAAATTTATGTTAAGGAAAATCATTCTCCCACGGAAACAGTCAGAGCTCCACCATTCATTACCTGTACATAACAAACATGTCCAAGTACTACTACCACACATCAACAGTTATTCAGACTGTGAAAAGAAGGAACAATTACAGTTAAGAAGTAATACGATAAAATTCTATACGAAAGTGGAGTATGCTTCCTGTCAAGAAACAACAAGGTAAGCAAATAAACCTACAGATGTTTGAAAACAATACAGTAAAAATCTAATATATTGAGCCAATCAGCAGTGACCTAATGAGAAGGCCATTGAATGGCAATCAGAAATTCCTCAGGAGGTGAATGCATGTTATCGGTTAAGGAATGGCTTTCGTTTCTAAGGAAGTGAACACACGTATGTTGACGAAAATTTATTCCCACTATTGATTATTCGAAAAGACCTCTTCTCATCTACTTGAGGGCCATCTCAACAGAGTGCACTAATGGAACCGTCACGGATGTAATTCAGGATCTTCATCTCAGGTCTCGCAGCGAAAGCTCATAGTTTAGGAAATAGAAAGATCAGAAGAATCTTAACGACAATCAAAACTAATGTGTTTGAAAGTTGATAAAAATAACCACGACAAAGTGTTTCGTTCTATAATAAAATCACGCAAATCTTACTTCGAATACATTGCGAACCACACGAGCTGGATGAGATGTCAAGTATAATGATCCCGCAACACATGCAATAATGTTGATAACGAATAAATCTACACAATTAGAAAGACACAGAGAAAATAACAATCGCCCATCAGTTAAAAGCAAGCTAAGTATTTCTATTTAAAATCACCAACCTATTCTAGAAATCTATATGCAACTCAATAATGTCTTACATGCAGTAATGCATACTATTATTGTAAACGTAAGGAGAAATCTACACTGTTATCTGTCTAAATGGTAAAGACAAGGCGAACTCATGGAGGCTATAAAGATGAGAAGGATTGTAGCCAGCAATGGTATTTACGACACACATTTCTTCCTTCACGGCGCTCGTCAGTTGCATAGACCTGCATCCCAGTGTTCATGCTCACATCGTGACTCGAACAAAGTGACCTTTGCACCAGACGCCCAATCTGATAGGTACTGAGCTACTGAGTTCAGACAGCTACTAGTCAAACGTTTTACACATTTCAATTCCGCTAAAACTTTCTTGATTTACATATCGAATTAACAGCAAAAGGAACAAAGAATCTTAGTTGACAAAAGAACGTCGCTGTGCACTTTCACAAAGATGGTAAGTATCATGCAAGGGACAAGCACACTGTTAACTTTCTTGTCTATTCAATAAAATGTTACTTCAAAATCAGTGTCACAAGTTTTGTATAATAGATTGTGGAATACATTTACTGTATGCGAAGACATGCAACACCAATATTCTGCATTCCGAAATATATAATCAGCTTACTGAGGTAAGTGTTACAGAATATGTATTAACTCCAACAAAGTGACAATTCGGGTGAAATGTGAACAAATACAATAACGTTAATTGCGTCTGATCATCTTTATACAGTAAATATAACTGCGCAATTCTTATAACAATCAAGATGTAAAATCGCAATTAGTCTGAATGACCTGTCATCGTACAAACTATCTTCTGATATTAAAAACATTCAACTGGAAGCTCTAAACCTAGATTTCATATCAGTTGGTGGCAGTCATCGGAAAACAAGATCATACTTAAAACATCAGTCTTGTCATGGGGGGTTAGATACAATCTCAACAAGTGGGTGTCAACGTTTCCAACTGTGACACTGGGGAACACGCGTTGCATTCACTATGATTTATTATCATTATTTCTATGTTGTGACAGGCATTTTTAGAAGAAAGGCTGGTAATCGAATGGAAATATCAATATTAATACAGATAAATTCAATAAAAAAATGCTACAAACAACTTACGATTAGAAAGAATCGATCGACGATATGGTGCAGATTTAGAGAATACAATAGCCAATATAATGTACTGGTAAACAGATACAGTGAATATGGCTGTACTTTCAAAGTTTTTCAATTCATAATCTTCATGATAAGCAAACAGTGGTAAATACCTTCAAAGAAATAAATGAAAAATACTGATAACAATTAACAGGGTTAAATGGAGTTACAAGATGATTCACAATAACAAAACTGTTAAATCAATCCATAAAAATGCCTATCTACTCAGTAATTCTTCGTGGCCGGTAAACACGCACCACACATTTCAATGTAAATACCAGTAGGCTATATGATACTTTGGATGGATGCAGCAAGTCTTGAATAACCTTAACAACAATATAAAATATCGATTTTCATGTTACCAAACTAACGTGTATTTAAAATAGCTATTGGCATAATTATCGATACAAATGAATGTCACAGACAAAAATCACAACGATAGAAACACGCTCACTAACCATGGTTGTAGTCGCGTAAATACAAACACTGAAAATTGTACAAGACCACAAGTGAGCAACTGCAGACCCAATGATAATAAAGTCACAGTTGATACTAACCGCATTCCAGGAGGTTCCACAGACAGACGAGGATACGCCGGAGTATAGCCAACTATTGAAAAAAGAATCAATATGAAGAAAAAACCAGTAAATTACCCCGTTTCAAAATTATGAAAAAACATGTGAACAACCAGAATGATACAGAAATCAATGTAGATTACCACCCGACAATTTAAAATGAATTAAAAACATTGCAAAGTTAGACCACTATATTCGAGTCGTGAAAAAATGATCTGCTTCACGAAAAATTTCATTGGTATCAATAGGCAGTGCAACTGTTTCTCATAAAGTGTACGGGAATATTGCATACATAGACAGCGTTTTGTTCTGAAGAGTACACAGTACAGAAGTACCTGAAGTATTGATACAGTTCACTTCTACTACAGTGGTGGTGTTTCGTTCTCTGATCTGGGTGTTTTGGCTGTGGAGCTTTTATTATTCTTCTGAACAACATCATCAGCACAAACTTCAAATAAAAGTCTGTCTGGAGTTTGTGCTGATGTTGTTCAGAAAAATAATGAAAGTTCCACATCCAAAACATTCAGCACAGAGAACGAAACACCACCACAATCATCCACCTGAGATACAAATTTTCTCGAACCTCTCACTTCTAGCACTACTAGGTTTCACGATGACGGCTTTCATTTTCAGGCGGTTAAAATCACTAAAAAGCAGATGTCGAACAGCTGCTTTTTCTTTGTGTGGAATTATTCGGCAGTTCCCGCTCTCGACAACATACATAAAAGCAAACAGAGCCTCTACATCCTTCCTATTTTAGGGGTCAATGGGTTAGCTGATTTTCAGACGTTCTAAAGGTTTTAGGGTTCGATTACAAGTAGGATCGTGAGTGCATACAGCGCAAGAGTGCTGCATTTCGACAAAAGAGAGATTCCGTTCGTCTTGAGTCTCATTGCCATGTTAACCGACATCGATCAGTAACAAGAACCGTCTACCAGTAAATCACGATCAAATTACCAGTTTATATTTTTATGATTTTTTTATGTAAATATGGGAGGAAGCAAGAGTCAACATTACGTGCTTTTTTAATCATGTCAAAATGAGTTATTCAATGTAAAAACAAAACATAAATAGTACTGTACTACAAAACAATTTCTTTCAAAAATTAACCTGAAAAAGAGAACTCTAATATTCATGAAAAAATACTTCACAAAAGCATGAGATATCTATAATATTTAGTCTTAAAGAAAAATAACAATAAAGTGACGACAAAGAAGTAGCATAATTTTGACATTTGGAAATACACATATACAATGTGCTTAAATGCATCCGAATAAAAGTAAAACATTGATATAGCTGCTATGAAGAGGTACTTAGTCAGATTCATCTTCCGATATAACAGATGTAGTATAGCAATGTATGGAAGTTACTGGCTGTACGTTACTTCAGTAAATGACTAATGTACAGGACGTTAGGATTAGCGATTCACAGAATGTACGTCTGAGGTCTAAAATACTGATCACTAACAACAAAACAATATTATTGCTTACTAAGTGTCGTATCAGTGAGGTGTATACGGAAATACATGTGAGTGAGACTTTAGGATTGAGAACTGCAGATGTACATTAAGTAAATACTTTGAAAAACAGAGAAAAGCCAACGTCAAACATGTCAATGAACAAATCAGATCAATCCGAAAATTAGATCCTAGTCAAATAATTTAGGAGAATGAACGCGAAATCCACGAAAGAAACCAACAACATAAGAGTGAGTATTGAACGAATACAATCAAAAACATAACACAATATGTCCCCTGCTGGAAAAATGATCTATTTACAAAAGATCACTGAGAAGCCAATATCGTATTTTCCTGGTCCTTCAATGTTGACAAAACTCTATTGATCCAGTTGCAATACAACCACTAGTCTAAGTGCATCGACATTCCGTACCTCTATGTCGAGGTACTAGGTGGTTGAAGGTAGTCAATAAGTAACCTTGAACCTAGGATTAATGCTGCTTGACACTCGTCAGTAAGGTGTTTGTGTAATCTTGAGTGGATTGGGGTTCTTATTGCTACCCCATGATCAATCAGTCGGCAATACCCCAGTCCTGTAGATGATTTGTCGTTGCCCCAATAATTCAGTAGTAACGTCTAAGATTATCAGGTAGTTTGATTATGGATTAAAACCACCAGCGAGAACCCAGTCTCTGCATGAACATAAGTTAAATTCACTGATGCGTGTCAAACAACACTGCTGACTACTTCAAACCAGTCAACATGTGAAGTTTGAAAAAGGGCGACACCAAAGATTGGTGAATTTTATCGATATCACGTGCGCGACCGGAGGACCTGAAATGGATTTACGGTTGCATGGACATGGATGAGCACTGTTGAAAAGGCTCATAGTAGGTCAAACCTGCCATCCAGTGCTTCCAGGTATTCATTAGTTGTCTAACTTACATCAGTTCGTGGAATAAGTAAAATTTTTTACCATTTAATAAGCTAATAGATGTGCGATAGGAAAACAACATAGCGCGAGAAAAACAAGTTATTCAAATAAATTTGTTTCTATGCTAATGTGTAACTGACGCCATGTATTTTAGTTTGAACTTTTAATTAAATAAACAAATAAATTAGATATTTAAAAACAATTTACTGGTCCACATTGAGATCTAATTCACACACAGAGGTACAACAAACTCCTGATTATAAAGTGAACAAACGTTTTCATATTATGTGACAACATTTAGATTGGGTAAAATACTATTAAGAATGTGAACCTTGGCTACCGAGTATCGTACTATAAATACAACTTAATTCTCTTTTTGCATCAGTTCACTCGAGCAGGGTGACACATCATATCAGTACAACGAGACGCTGTAGTAGTGGCAGTAGTAGTACAAGCAGAAATAGTATCAGTGGAAGTAGAAACAGTTATGTATAAACAATAAGATTCCAGAACAAACGGTTAATTTGTGGAATAATGCATAAGATAATTTTAAAATTCAAAGTCTAACACCATGTAAATCACAAATGTAGCAGCAACATCGTAATAAATTTTCAGGTACATTACCTAAAGACTCCAATCAGTGGTTACGGCAAAAGTGAAGATCTCAACCAGGCAATCCAAGCCTACATATACTGCTCAGCTTACAACATGTAACCAAACCAAATTAGTACAGAGACTCAATTTTCAGTTCAAATCCCATAGCAGTAGAGGCAGTAAAAGTTTAAGCAGTAATCAGAGAGATAACAGTTCGAGTAAATTATTCAAGAAGTAAAATATAGTGAAATGGACTTGATAAGAGAAAGATGAAGAATCCGGAGGATTACGATTTCAGAGAAGCCAAAGAATGGATACACGTGCGCCATTCCAAACGGTTAACAGCCATTTCACCCAAGGTCCCTAACCATCGATTACTATCATCTCGCGGACTCCAACGACGTAGTGTACACTTACCAACATGACTCAATCCAGCTGTCAGTGACTTTATGGATTTATGTCATGTTTTGGTTTGGCCGCCCCTAGCTTTCTTCCAACCTACTCCTACACCACAAAACATAGTATATTATAACAAACAATACATTGAAATAGATCTAGTAATTATTATAGGACATTCATGGCGACTACTGAATTTTCGTAGGTTACATCACCCGTAGATTTTATTAAGACAATCATTAAAAACTAGAAACAACAGGAAAGCTCTTTCCACTTAGTTTGATAAACCTAAACAATGCATATTCACGGCCACTCTCTGCGAGCGAGCGGACCCGGGACAATCGAGTTTGAATAAACCGCTTGACCAGCAGACCATATTATCATTCAGTGATAGAGTTAACAAAAATATTAGCTAAACATAAATAAATAGTGAATAAAGAAGCATTTTCTCGACTTACAAGTAAGACCCAGAGTCGTGATTAGGAAAAGATCGATGAATAAAAACTGCAGATCAGCAATATTACTACCAATCTATTGAGAGTAAAAACACACATAAAACAAAGTTTATACAAAAGTAACAAAAACGCCAACACAAATATCAAATACATAAAAATGAACAAAGAAAACAAGTGTTTCAATTGTGGTTTCCTTTTAAAACTGAATTAGTTTTCGACTACTTTAGTAATTAATCTTGCTTCACAATATGAAATGAGAATAAATACGGGAATGTCTGGCATATGGTTGACGAGCCCATTCGAAAAAGCACTGATGGCATGTATCAGTCGAACACTAGCTTGAATGGCAAGTGAGTAATGATAGAACGATTAACCATAAGTCATCTCACAGTCCACCATGGTAATCATTGGAAGGAATTATCACCAAGTGGATCACTTGCATTCCAATCAATATTATCTTTTTACACTAAAAAAAGTATACAACTGAGATATCTAATTCATCCAGTATGCAGTTACGAATCTAGTCGTTCAAGTTACAGGTTTATTGACTGAAATTCATTTCGACCAAAACAGTGCGATATCAACGTGGTGGTCTAAAAACAAATCATACATATAGTAACAATGAACAACAATCTATTTATTGATTCATAACTTTTAAAATACTGCCCAGCTGTGGGCATCGAAATAAATAGATAATTGAATCATAGATTAAGAGTTTCTTTTTCACTTTTGTTGTGTGCACATTCCTATGCAAATCACTCTAACTAATAATAAAGAAATTTCGTGATTCCTATCAGGAGGAAACATGTTTGATGATAAATTATGTTCAATTAGTACAGACAAATCATTAATTGAAAGCATCAGGTAAAAAAAAGTGCTATTCATTAAAAAGAATAATCAAAGCTGTTTAGATCGATTCCGTGAAAAGATAAAAAAATAACAGAATATTTATAGATTTTGTATACATTTAGAAGAGTACACAGTAATTTGGCAGTGAAAAGTTGGATTTTTTTTCAAAGACATTCGAAGAGCACTCAAATTAATATGGCATGTATTAAAATGTGATCTTTAAAAAAGGGCTTGCCTTTAGCAACGGTAGTACAAATTCACTAACACATCTTTTGAAATTGAACGATTAGTGGAGTGTTTTATTAAAAATATTTCATTGACCAATGTACTAAGACATAACATAGGCATTCAAAAGAGAAAATCATTCACAGATGCCGTTTAGCACTATAAGAAAAAATTCTAGGATTTATTAACCAGAACAGACAGGTGAATCGAACATCGACTAAAACATTCGCTATTTTCTCATTTAGAAAGAAATTCGAACATTTACATTGAAACGCAATAAAATATTCTAAAGTGTTTAACAGTTATGGTAGTATTCGTTTGGCTTAAATTATCAGTGACTGAGAGTTCACATGTACACACCCACTACATACCGAAAGCAAGGACTACAAAATGTAGTAATGTAGTGAACGAGAACACAGGTGGGGCAACCGGATTGTATTTAATGAAAATTACAGTTACTCAGAAAATCGGAAAACCGTATCGTAAATCGTTAATTTGAGAAATATCAGTCCATCATATCGAACTGGACTGTTCCTGTTGCAAAACATAAATCCATTGTCACTATTCATGCGTTTCATTCAATTTCCATTGTGTTCTTCTAACTCTTCCTTTCTTGATCTTCCCCACATCTTCTGCTGCCAGACATTACGTTTACACTCACGTCATATACTACTTATAAGTAGCTCACGCCACAGTAAGAGTAAATTAAAACTGATATGATTATCATGTATGGAATACTTTAATGTTTTGTTTTCTTGTTTACTCAATTATAAGGCAATTTGTGACCAGTTGTTTTGAAGACAGTCAACTATACACATTGACACAATTTCTGATAGTAAAATACATTTTATTTTGTAAAATAACAGAACGTCTTTTTTGGATAATTAATGTTAAGCAAAAGTCATAAAAATTAATCAATTTACAATTTTCCAAATAGAAAAAAATACATTGAGTACTTCTGCAAAAAAATTCCTAAAAAATTACTAAACTAAGCTGATGATCAATAGAAATTCACTATGAAATCATTGTGGATTAATTACACACACATGACTGATTAGTATTATTATTATGATTATTATTTGGAAGCAACATTTTTTTTCAGAAAAAACATCTCATCATTCAGTCACATGTATATATAATGTGCTTATGAAATGACGTTGGTGTGTACAGGCAAAAAAAAGTAGCATACATCTCAGTAAGCAATAGGAGAAACAGAATCTACAATTCCACTGTTTACAAGCAAAATTGTGGCAAAATAGAACATAACAAGAGAAATATACCAGGAATTAAAGTGTGTAGATTTAAATGTTGTAAGGTTTAAGGAAGAAAAAATATTTCAAGATGAAATAAATTGTTAGGTGAGTGATTCAACATTTGTTAGATTACAAGCTGTTCAGTATAGATAAAGTGATTCACCATGGTAAGTTTTGGATGGTATTTAGTGAAATAGCAAGTAAGCAACCACATTTACAAGGAATAGTGGTAATGAAGATTAAGGAACAACACAGTCTGCGATTCCTACCTAATTGTCAAACAGATCAGGCAGATTACATATTGAAAGGTAGCTAGTGGGTGATATATATATATATATATATATATATATATATATATATATATATATATATATATACCCTTGGAGAAAGCGAGTTATTCACTTAACCAATATCACAGCCTATATATCATTTGCCTGAACTAGTAACATATACAAACACATAGGCGATGTATAGAATATTCGGTTTCGTCATAGTAATTGTCTAATAATCGTTACACTTTTACCTAGAATACATTAAAAAGGAGTTATTATAAGGTTTACATAACTATAACACAGTAAAATAGAATATATATACCATCAGGATGAAGTAGTGAGATTAAAGTCATAAAGTGTTGTATGCAAATATAATACGTGACAGATTCTGGGTCATCAGAGATCATAGAAATAGAATAATGAATTGGTTACATAATAAAGTAGTCGAACAGAAACTAGTAGCGATTAAGAATAAACATGACTTCAGATCGGTCAGTTAAAAATGAATTTATGGATATGAAAGAAATGACGCAATCAAAATAAGAAAAAGAGAAGATTTCAAAAGAATTACGTGATCTACTAACGATAAACTGATCATAGTAGAGAAAGATCTTCAACTGTATATTACTGAACTGAGCTGGTGAAACACAAAACTAGCATACAACTTTACTCAGAAAATAAGAAATCTAGTTTATTTTGTGGTCACAATTCATCAGGTTCCGAACGACTGAACTTCTTAGATGATACATACTTTGTTCAGCCTATAAATAACTGCAGCGTCTAATTAACCATGAAAAGAAGATTAGGACAACACAGTGCAATAAACAAATAAAACTAGTACCGATGTCAAAATTTTCATGACGTGAATGAATGGGCGATGGATTATTTTGGACAAATGCAACTAAAACTGAAGAACAAACCATAACAAAATACTCGATTAGTTGAGTACAACCAAGTTTGTCAATACATAATCAAAATGAGTACCGACATTAATATTTTGTTACGGTGATGAAACTAACAGTTTTACCAATTTACTTATCTAACTCCAAGAAAAACAGAGATTTCAGAGAAAAATTAAACTTACATAATACAAAAGTATAACTGAGAAAAATTGAATCATTGAATAACCAACCATAAACTTGAATGCACCAAAACTCGTAGTCAACGCGCAACGACCTTCACGAATAAGTGTCGGGACACAACTAATATTTTGTTGTTTCGATGTGAAAGGACTAGCAACACTGGCTTCAGTTTCGCTTAATGCAATCCCAGCATGTGCCACTTTCAATGCACCACAATCATTAGCGCCATCGCCACACATTGAAACAAAATAACCAACTGATTGAAGCGATTCAATTAGTTGAGCTTTTTGTTCCGGACGAAAACGAGCAAACACAGTACCTTTGACTACAAGCTGAGAAACACACAAACACAAAGTGAAAAACAATTATAAGCAAATCTAAAGACAATATTTCTAACAACACGGAAATATTCACGGTTTAAAACTGAAAAGAGGTCGAAAAGTAGGCGAATCTCTAAAGAAACAGGAGCACCTGTGTAGAAAGTGCTCTTACAAAACTCTCATTTGACTTCTTATACTCAGCTTACCGACAGTTCGACTGATCATATCATAGTTCGAAAAGATTCACAGAGATCTGATCAATCTAGAACGATATAAAATATATCCGAGAATCAAAGTAACCAAATACAGAAACGTTCTGTCGAACCGAACTCTATGTAAAACACCGCATTCAAGCAACACTAGGTGAATAATTTACAACTGACTGGTCATTCGTAAATCACTGATTTCGTGTTTGTATGGTCTTCTGCGTGCTGACAGAGTGCTATCGATGAGGATTCGAATACTACGCAGAGCATCAGTATCCTCAGATGCACCATGCTGACAGCCTTTAATTAGCAAAATACACAGGTCTAGACATTCTTGTCGACTACCTCTAACCACCAAATATTCAGTGAACAATTATTTCAAACACTGACACACAACATATGCTAATTAATCAACTTAATATTGAATAAAAAATACCTTGTACTACACTGATGTAAATGTATCTGTGTATACAATGCAACACTTGCGGATATCAAGTAGAAAATTGAGTCTGCTGTAGCTCAACAGAATGGCACAAAACGTGTCTATTGAACAACATGCTGTTGTCATGCTGTTTTGACCATAGATCGAATGCATTTTGTATACGAAAGTGGGAACGATGAAAGGTTGAGCTCTCACATATGCTGGAAAGATTAAATGGTGTATTCAGTTGACTTCTAAACTCTATCAAACGCCGAAAATACAACGCTGAACATGTAATAATATATAAACTAGCTTCAGGAAAAACATCCGTCTTAAAATTACCTTCGATATGTGCTACTATTGCAATCATACTCACCTTTGGTATAAGCCAAGGATAGTGTTCTCGAATGATAGCCCATGTTTTACCAGACATAGCCAAGTGGAAATCAGGTCGATCAAGCATCCGTATAGATACAGGACGAGTGGAATTCAAGCGATCATTCGACACAGATTGCAAGTGATCTTTAGAGGAAGATGCATTGCGTCGAAGTTCATAAGGGTGACGTTTACGTTGATCGGGTGAAGATACAGGAAGGTGGTCATTCACTGAAACAGTAGGCACCTGAGTTATATCTGTCAGTGGGCTTGACGAAGGTGAGGAATTCTGTACACACCTACAATTTGGCAATCGCAAATGAAAACAACCAAATAAGCACTAATAATAATGATGGAAGTTAAGAGACTTAAAAATACTCCTCAGCAAAATAATTGATGGATAATGAAACGTTTGAGTGATAAGAAACTTCAGATCATTCCGGCAACAACAAAACATCAGGGAAACATTGTTTGATGAATGAGTAACCGAATCTACTCTGTATACATGTTTTGAACAATCCTGACCAATAATAAAACCAACAACTACAACTAAGCCGTACAAAACTTTATCGCATACGAACTACGAACTCTAGTATTGCTGTCTCTGATTTAGTAGACACTTCATCATACAAACGAATGCCTATTAGATATTTCACTTTACCGCAAAATTCATAAAATCCCATTGACTGAGTCTGAAATAGCATGTTGGGTAGAACACATCATTACTACGAAATACACCGCATTCTTATCTTGGTAGTTGAAACGCTACATGGTTTTTACTATATGGTAGAAACATAGGTAAGTTTCATAGATGTCACACAATGCAACTTAGTTCAAGGTTTAGTGAACGATTCTGAGATAAATGATTGAATTCTGATTACAAACTGATAAATACCCTATTTTTCAATTAACTGCTAACAGTATTTCACGATGCACAATAGTACAGTGTATAGAACTGGGAAATTATAGTTCAGCAGGAGAAATAGGAAAGACAATTACTGTGTGGTTGGGTGATTATGTATTCCGTAGGAATAATCAAAATTGAAACACATACCAAGGCTTACAATAACCCAAATGAAGCAGGATGTAAGAAAATGATGGCTAATTTAAGTGTTGAGTCATTAAGGTCACGAATCAAAGTCTGACGGTTTTAGAGTATTAGAAGAAAGTAGAGATAACATCGTACAATTAGTCAGATTTGACAAAAGTTATACCTCTCAAAAAAGGTACAAAGCTCTCTCTCTCGGTAAAGAGAAGATAGTTACATGAGTAAAATCTTCACAATCGAATGCATATAAACTTACACACAAGGAACATTTTTGCATAAACAACGCATCAATTTTCGAGGTTTCTTAGCACTCCTTACTGGAAATTTATGTGAATCATAATCAGTTTCGGTCGAAGTATTATTAACAAGTTGAGATTTATGGAATTTACCAGTTGTTCCTGTCTCAGTTGTAGCTGTCACTTCAGTAACTGGTTTGTGTAAATCTTCAGCATAATGAAATTCAACTAATGAATCGTCATGTTGATTGAAGAAATTCTCCTGAGATAGAGAAGTTGCTGTATTAAAGCTTGAGCGTGTACGTGGTCTATTGTCGTATTTGGATCCTTGTGATTTTGTCAACAGGATCGATGGTGAACTAACATGAAAAGCATGATTCGAAGGAGCAAGACTCTGTTGTTGATCTTTTGATACATCAACATTGGCAGAACATACCACAGAATCATGTGGACTAGATGACTGAACAAGAGGTGGTGGTTTTGCAGACACAAGAATAATACGATCCAGTTCATCGATCATCTCGCAATCCCGAGCTACTGATAGTGCAGTTAGCATATTATCACCTAAATAAAAAGGTTGAATGGTGAGCAACAGTGTATCGTGTCAATCGATATTATAAACAAAACTAAATGCTAACTGACTACTAGTAGTATTAATTTACAAAATCCCATTCAGTTATAAGATTTGGAATACAATCAATTGAACTATTTCAGTGTAATGTTTATCATAATCCCTCCCCATACTTAATTCATGGTAAATAAGGAATGTGAATTAGAAAACTAGCTCTCTGTATGAAAAACCAAATTAGAAGAGTCGGTGATTTAAAAGAAGAAACAGAAATCTGTTAGGATGATTGAAAATGAATGAAAATATTGTGCGATTCACGAGATTAATGCAGTTGAGCTCGAGTTTCGATTTCATCAAATTAAACGAAAGAGAACAAGTTATTTGATGAAAATGACACTGAAACGATTACGTTTACAGTAGCCTAAACTAAAAAGTGACATATCACGATCACATTCGAACTGGAATTGCATTACATGCTACTACCCTTTCATCACTTTCTTATGCAGCTTTGAATACCGAGTTTATCATTAAAAGAAAAACATCCGAACGATAAATACACACAAGATTTTATAATTATCTCTGTTGGGATTTTAATGAGATTTTTAAGACTAAGGCAATAAAAATTTACGGAAATCGCATGGAAAAGGCATGTTATGTCAAAAAAAAAATGTGTTTATGTACAATAGTCAAAACTTAGCAACAAAACCTGATTCATCCTATTCAACAAAAATTCTCACAGAAGACAAATAAAATTATTGATGAAACTAAACGTAAAAACGAAGTATATTACAAATTTTTGTTCAATTACTATACTATTACTATATTAAAAGAAACAAAAACCTCATTATTCCTCAACTTAAAGGAATGATACTTCACACCATGTCTTTCTGAATATGATTTTTCGTTGAATATCAATCAACACTAAACAGTCGAACATGAACCTACAGCAAAGATATCCAACAAAAGGGATTACAGTTTAATTTTCTCACAATTCAAGGGTTGAACATACACAAATAAATTCAATTGAAAACATGTCTAATTTTTTTTCGAAATCTCAATTACTACAATCTGTGATATGAAATTTAAAAAAAATAAACCTGGTGGATTGTCAAATATTTTTTTTTATCAGAACTATATGAAAGAATGATAATTTGACATCAGCATAATGAATTTCGACAAACGTTGATTTATAACTTTGAATTAAAATTATTAATCATTCTAAATCATATGCTGATGTAAATTTCACAACTACATAAAAACTCACTAGTGAATCAATTAAAATCTCACTAATAATCTCATATGCTTTGATGTTGTTGTCAGTTGAAAACTTTTGTTTTTTTCTTCTCTAGTTTATGTATCATCATCTACATTAGTGACACTTCAAAAATGGTATAATACACCTGAAGATAGTTCATGTTTTATCAATTTGAATTAAAAAAACTAATTTTACCTAATTTAGATTTCAATTTTATTAGCAAAATCTTGATAGTTCTATTAAGCAAAACAAATTAAAGTATAATCATGTTTAGGAAGTTAGCTACCCAGAATTCACTTGGAAAAGGTCCTAATTTTGTAATTTATTCCTGAAATTTTCGCGCCAAAGACGTTTAGATGACTTTCAGCTTATATTTACCATTGGGAAAATCCTTCACTGTCATTGGTTGGTGGATTATTTTAGTACGCTATTTTGTGGCTCTCACGAACGACGTTTTATCATTGTATAAACAAGCTTGAGTTGTGTGCTTGTGGACATCAGATTTTCTGGTTGCCTATAAAATACATTTTCCCTACGTCTTACCAAGACTTCTTCGTTTAGTGGGCGCGGTCTGGGACAAACGGATCAAAATAGCCTATCGAGTGACTACATCGCTGATCTTCGTTCCGTTTACCGAGTAAGGTGAACTAGTAATAGTCACACGCACATCAATTAACGAGCATATCGAATCAATAGAGCTGTTTCATTACCAAACAATATTATGCTATTCCGCGTAAAAACGAATTGTTGGTATTAGTTTAGAAAAAAGACACTGGCTGTCCTAGAGGAGTTATTAATGGTTGTAAGCAGAACAAACAATAATCGTTATGTCTCAAAATAAAGATGAAACAGTCCTAGTGATAATGTTAATACGCCAACCGATCTAACTATATCAGATAAATCGAAACCTAACATACAACATGATTCAACGATGACGAAATTATATACACATAAGAAATTCGAACTGAGCTATGCAAAGAAGTCTTTAAAAAAATAGTTAATACAGTCGATAAGCACAATTTATTACAGTAAATATCATTAAGAAAACAGAGGTCAAAAACAATTTATGTAGTGATCACAGCCCGATTTAATATAAAAAGGTCAAAGTCTAAATAGTGATAAAAACAATACGAATATTGATAGAATTTGACGGTGACCTCTACAACCATACAAATTCACCATGTCCACAGTGCAGATTAACTGTTTATCAAAATAAACTGGTATTAATTAAGTGTACGTAAAAACAATCCATTGAAGGATAGCTGCCAAAATAAATCCTATTGAAAATAAACACATCAATGTAAAATAAACATACCAGTCACCATCACAGGTCGAATATTGGCATGTCTTAAAGTTTCAATCACTTGAGTTGTTTCCGGTTTCAAACGGTTCTCCATGATTAGTAAACCAAGAAATTGTAAATCCTGTTCAACACGTTCCCTAGGTACACGTAAAACTTTTGTATAGGTTGCTTTTAATGGTTTCCAAGCTAATGCTAACACTCGATACCCTTCACGTGTGTATTCCAACAGAGTTGAATGAAAATCTCTAGGAACTGAAGAACAAGAGAAAACAACAACTGAAATTCCACAGAAAACACAATTGATACACGGCTTTATTTATATGTCAATGAAAAGATGATACAAACTGTGGAAAATATCGAAACAATGTTGAAATGCGTCCAGTATAAATTTTTTCATTGAGAACATTAAATAAGAATTACAATTTAGCCAAAAGTCTACACATAAATTATATGCAATGAAGTTGTTTATATCATCGTTAGTTCAAACAAACAAAAACAAACGAATATGATGAAAGAATAGAAAACAAATTACAAATCAAATCATCATTTATACTGAGAAGAGTTAAAGACAAATTAAATTAGGCAGAATGTTATTCTATGCAACTCAGTTTTATTTTTTTAGGTAATAAGGTCAATTAGGCTTATCCAACAGTCGATGTGTTTAAAAAAGTCAAATTTATTCAATAAACAACAGTAATATTGACGAAAATGCAAATGGTAGGTAGAGTGTGAATCCGATCAGCTGTTATAATGTAAATAAACATCATTGATAAATTTTTAATTATTTAAAAATAAAATCAATTGTAGACTGGTATTGTATGTAAACTGATAATAAATTTTACATTACAACTGCATTTCTTAAGGTCATGCATGATAATTAAACCATACTGATTTATTTATATACACGAATGTATCAAATAACAAATTTATTCGACAACAATAAAATGGTCATTTACACGTTTTCTTTAGATATGTATAAAACATTTGAGACGAAATAACTAAAATAAATATTGATTCTAGGAAGGCTTATCACGAATGATTCTTAGCTAGATCACCATTAGAGACATGGAAGTCTTCACATAATCGTGGACAAGAAACTGTCTAAAAATTTATTAAATATACAAAATATCACATTATTTTATTGTGTACAATAAACAAATTCATATGGCATTATGCTCTTAATGTAAAATGATATAACGATTACTTTTAATCAGTGATAAAAAATAAAATTGATCGTAAAATTTCACAGGTAAAGACTAACTTTCAATCCATAGCATCGACATACTACTAAAGCATGCGTAATTAGGGAAAAAAAGCCAATTGACATAGATTACGATATGGCGATGATACATACTGAGTACACTTTTAATGAACGAAGACGTAAAGACCATATGGAATAAGTGATTTATTGGAAGACGCAGGTTACTAGCAAAATATGTACACCATATTCTCATTCTTCCATTTGCAAAAACAATCAGATTAATGATTGTCTTCTTCCACGTCTTCTCTTCTTCAAAACAGTCTGATCGCACCATACATTGAGAATCGACACTCTTCACTTCAGCAGTAACGTCAAGGCAACACTCCGCTGTATGTTCACTACATATTACTTATAAGTCACGTTGTGAGTAGCATACAACACATACTAACTAATTCGTTGCCTCTAGTAGCTCAGCTTTGATACAACCTTTTATCTTTAATAGACCAACAGACAGATTTAACGATTCATACAATATATATTATCAAATAACCGGTTATACAAGAGTTGTTAAAATAAACAATCTTCTAGAAAATTATGGCATCTTAAAGAAGTCTAACGTTAGTTAGTCTGCTCAGATATTTGGTAATTATCTTTCTTTTTTGACAATTTGTATACTAAAAGACTGATTCATTGTTCATGGGATAAGAATGACTGAGAAGTCAATTGTTCACGAAATCTATCATGAGAAAAATCTCATTGATCATATAATTTGATGGCTGAATAGGAAAATTGAATTGTTTCATGTATAAAGTGTTCGATCAAGATAAAATAGAACGATAAGATTTGAATTAAGAAGAAATTAGGCTGATTCAACATTATGATGTACTTCAACTCACGATACCGTATATACTACATATTTTAGTATGTACATAATTACCGTTTCATCTATACATAAAATATGAACAAACACACAATAATGAACATGTTTCAAAGATAATGGGGCATTAGATTTAATTGAGTTATCAACATATGTTTCTAACCGGGTGAGTTATTATTTACAATTACAATGGCCGACAAAATGTTGCTTTACCAGTAATTACATTTAATGTATTATTTGAATCGACATCACCATGAAAATCATAATTTATGTGGTATGTTAACACTAATCAAGCTCTCATTCAATCATAACAAATTACACATACAACTTTAGTCCTAAAAATAAAAATCAACTGAATAATATATTTGGCACCCTCAGTCACTTAACATTTTAACGTAGCGCAAATGATCAATGATCAATGTCGTACGGATGATAGTTAAATGCAACTTTTCAACAGCGCAAACAACCAGGTCATCGTTGCAGTTCAACAGTCAAACAAAACGTAATCAAATAATACACTTTCAGCTTAAATCACAATGAGACAATCTACAAATAATCACTAAAGAAATGAATGTGAGACAATTGTAAGAATTTTCATTTGCATGACTAATGGCATATTAGTGAACCACTTGAAATGCAAAACCATGCATGCAATAAAACAAATAAACAAAAATGTTATATAATGAACAAAAAAAAACTAGATTATTAATTGGTAAATTATTTTATTCTCACACTTTTTCGTATAATTAACAATTTAAATTTGTAGTGCTAGTGCTACACATGATTAATTGAAGTAAAAATAAGCAGATAAATTTTTCAATAGAAAAAAAACACCGACATTGATTTACGCAATGTATACGCAAACACATACACACAATTTTACATACATAAATACACAGATAGAAATACATGGAGTGAGACAAGGCGTAGTGAAATACCACTTCTTTAAACATTGTAGATTAAAATTAACTGATCAATGAGAGTACAAATCATAAATTGGCATGATTATCATAGTTACCAGTAGTACATAATAAATAATAATAATAACAATAATAATGATGACAGTAATAATAATAAGTAGTAGTAGTAGTAGTACCAGTAGTAGTATGATTAGTCCAGTAATCGTTTGTCATCGGTTATCAATGACTTACAAATTTTTTACACATTTGAAATAATAAATCAATCTATGTGCCTTCAACAAACTGGTCATAGGTGGCACAATATTCCCACACAAACCCACATGGATTTCACCGGATCACACTACTAAGAACCAAATCGACAATATGTGTATCAATAAAAAATTCAGAAGGACCATCGAGGATATGAGGACCAAGAGAGGAGCTGATATAGCATCAGCACCACTTGCTGTTCACAAAAATGAAACTCAAGAAGTACTGGAGAACGGAGCGGACAACATCACAAAAGTTTGATACGGCCTTTCTTCGGGATAAACTTAGCGAAATCAAGATAGCCCTCAGCAATAGGTGCCAGGCTTTTTACGATCTACAAGATGGAATGGAAACTACCATGGAGGACAATTGGAAAGAGATCAATGAGGTAATTACTTTAACGTGTCACCAGATTCTGGGCCACAAGGAATGGATCTCTGTTGGTATTCTTGAAAAAATTCAAGAAAGGATGAACAAGAAGACAACAGTCAATATTCGTCATACAAGAGCAGAGAAAGCAGTCACAAGGTGAATACACAGAAGCGAACAAGCGAGTGAAGAGGAGCATCAGAGCTGAGAAACGTAAATATGTGGAAGATTCAGCAATGATGGCTAAAAAGGCTGTAAGAGAGGCAAACATGAGACGGAGAAGCTCGCTGGAAACTATCATAAACCAGAATGACCAGTGAAAAGCAAGGAACTTAAAGTATTCACCCATATCCGAGGACAGAGAAATGTGGGTAGAGCACCTTGAAGAACTCTTGAATCAACAAGCTCCACTGAACACACCCAACATTGAAGCAGAATCTACGGACCTCACAATTAATATAGGCGCACCTACAATTGAGGAGATCAGTATGGCCATCAGACAAATCAAGAATGGCAAAGCAGCAGGACCAGACAACATTCCAGCAGAGGCAATGAAAGCAGATGTAGAAGTAACTGCGAAAATATTTCACATCCTCTTCAAGAAGATTTGGGATCAGGAACAAGTACCATCAGATTAGAAAGAAGGATACCTGATCGAAATACCAAAGAAAGGCGATCTCAGAAAGTGTGAGAACTACAGAGGCATCACTCTGCTCTCAATACCAGGCAAAATCTTCGACAGGATATTGTTAAACAGGATGAAGGAATTCGTAGACACCCAACTTCGAGATCAATAGGCTGGATTCCATAAGGATGGATCGTGTACCGACTAAATTGCAACATTACGCATCACTGTGGAAAAATTAGTTCTGTTCTATGGAACAGAAACTTAGAGAACCACAAACAGCGTCAACCAAACGATAAAGGTATTTATAGGGTTTTCTACACAAGATACACAGGATCCGTCAGTCAGACACTATCAGCAGGACAAATCAGTTTCCAGTCAGAGAGGAAATTAATAAAAAGGGCTGGAAGTGATTGGATATACATAGTGGTAATCACCCAACCGTATCACAAGGATATCACTAACTTGAAATCCTAGAATCAAAAGAATCCATTGAACCGGAATTTGGAGGCAGACATTAAGGGAATAAATCGCACTTAAGAGCAACTAGAAAGGAGATCCTAGGACAGAGTTCGATGGAGAATCCTGGTAAGCCGCCATGCGCAACAATCGGTCAGAGGAACAAAGAAGGAAGTAATCTATTATTATCGCTTTCGTATAAGTTTGTATTGTACAAATATAAATTTATTTGTCAGATCTCCTCAAAGGTTACTACCACCCAATTCGGTTTGCTTATATTCCTGTGCTAATTGCTAGTTATGCGTTTAGGTACCCTGTCACCACATCCAAAATGATAAGTATCAAACAGATGATAAAACATGATAAAAAATGTCCTAGTTGTACAAAACATATGTTTATGTTCAAGCTTTGACCAGAATAATTTGTACGCAAACATGTTATAAGTTTGATATTACTGTTTTTCAGTAAATATACGTAGACGTTTGACAATTCACCAATGGTTTGTTAAAAGTAACAAGTATATTAAGAATGATATAAAACTATCAAAAGGATTATAAAACACAATCAAAAAATATCCTAGTTGTACAAAATATAAGTTTATGTGCAAACTTTGACCAGAATAATTTGTATGCTGGTATGGCATACGTTTGATACAACTGTTATGAATGAGACGGTATTATATATATATATATATATATATATATATATATATATATATATATATATAATAAAGGCCCACATTATATGACGTTACGATTTTTCGCTATCTTACTTTTCATTTAACTTTGTCACATTCATTTAACACCTCAGGGATTGATCACCTACCATGAGGTTTACCTATTGATTTACAATACACAAAAGACATAGTCTTGTTTGATAAAAACATGATAATGTACCATGTCGAGTAGAGTAACTATGAGATGCTAGATCAAAGAGTAGAACCAATCCACAAGGTCACTGACTGTTGGTTTCGGCCATGCTAATAGGTACACACAATCTGGTTGGAGAAACCAGTGGCCGGAGATATTGGGTGACATGGTCTCGAATCACTTGCAATGGTCCAGATATACTCATTCTTTGCCTACCACCAAATCTTCAGTGTTAAAACTATGAAAAACGTTTCACCACACCAATTCATAACTCCTTTTCAAATCACACTGCCCACGCCTAAACTCTTCACAGTAAATAACGCAAACACTTCTTTCGTATTATTAATATGCATTATTTCATCTCCCTGTGTTAAAATGGTGTAGGATCTTACATTGATATATGTTTGTGTTAGGTTTAACGCTGCATATCACTAACTGATAGTAAAAGTACAGAAAGTAATCATCACCTTTTACTTACTAGTATCACATCTGCACAACAATTCAATGGTTTCAGGTGCACCTTTAGTATATATATTGAAATGATTTTGATTGAGAGCACGAGTAATCACAGACATGCGTTGCAATGAAGAACTGAATGGAAATTGACGTAAAATACCCACTTCGTACGGAATATCCTGAAAATGTGTGAAATTAGAGTTTTTGAAAATCAAAAAAGCATTTCACAAAACAGAACAAAGAAGGAAATCACAAATTACTCAGCTGACATGCAAGCTGAAACCTTAAACACACTATAATCGAATTGAGTAATCTATATACGTATGCTTTTCGAACACGACAACAAATTCACTGTATATTAATATCACATTAGGTGATTTGACATCGTATGGCTATAGAAGCAGGTGATCATGATTTCCGATTTCAATGAGTATTGAAATCCCCAAACATATCAACAGTATTTGAAAATAAGTTTGGTCATTGACGAACTAAATTATGAAAAAGCGTGAACAACCTTTCTGTGCATTCCTCACCAAACTATGTCGAACCAGATACTTCAGTGGCCCCAACTAACGCTTAGTCAGAGCTCAGGATAGTGAAATAAAATACAGTTGGAAATCTTTCTTAGTAACAGTATAGGCTCCGGTAGCGTTAGACAAGTCAAGCCACACACTGATCTTTTACGTACAGCTACGCTAGGTTACATAGGAATTAACATTAAAGCCAATTTTGATGTACAGCGTCATCAACATTCAGTGTTTTCACAGATGTGCATTTCTAAATACATCTCGATAAACTGACAAATGGCATGTGGAATATCACAGTAATTGGAAAATAAATCGACAATAGCGTCACATGAGTTAGAATCGGGACACAATATCAACTACGATGGAACCAAAATAAGGAAGAAATAGTTTGTAGCACACAAAGAAAGGTTGACGGCAGAAGCAGTGTGTACATGGACGGATCAGAACAGCCTAAACAGAAGAGATGGTATTCAACTAGATACCCCCATCGCCAGTGCCACAGGAAATGCACACAAATAACTATGTTAGGATTTCATTACCCTCCTGTTGCAAAGAAGTATAATATATCACAAATTCATGTTTTCTCTATTTGTATTAATTGAGACAACTTCAAGAAGTAATTTCAGGGTTAATCGTTTCGCTTGACTTTCCACCATTTCAACAAATTACAACAAAGTGATGGCGCAAGCCCAGAATGAACTGATGTCCAAAATCAAGACAGTACACTTGCACAGGTTTCATTTTTAATGAAATAACAACATAACATAAACTTTGTCATTAATCACACAACATGGACTACAACAGCTGCTTTGTCCAGCACAATCATCAATATTAACATACACTTATTTAGCAAAACACGGATCGAATTCCCAAGGTTTCAAAAAAATTGCATATTCGAACTTACATCACCATTGAATTTTACAGAAATCTTTTCCGTTGAACTGCCTTTACTCGGTGGACGTACGATAGCAGGGACAGCCATCTCAAACTTACAATGATCAGCAGCTTCTTCAATGAATTCCTGACAATAAAATTATTTGAACAGAAAAAAATATATATGAAAACAAGTTGATCGGCAACTAAGGTTCACGTTAATAAAGGTCAAAGTAACTACAACACTCAGGTTTCATAGACGTAGACACTGTGAACGACAAAACAAACCAAAATCATTTACGATTCTTACCCATTTAGTTGACTGAAACATCTTCAAATCCAGAGGATCTCCAGACAGGACTCCTTCGATCAATGTCAATGAATGACATGTCGCCAAACATTCTATTAAGGGACCATTGCCTAACTCCGACGGTTCCAATTCCGGGTCTCTAAACAAACCATCTTCGTAAGGAATGATACCCCACATATCCAAACCATCTTCTGTTAAAGTACCCGTCTATGGATAAAGATGCAACAATGAAAAACATATGAGGCCTATTCGAATTCCAAAATTATTTCTACATAACTAAGTAAGAACCTAGTGACTAATAAATCGAGAACTTAGACACTTGGTACTGACGTTAGACAGTATCTATTACATATGAACTTTATACAGAAGAAAACAGTCGCAAACTATCAAAAGTAGCGTTATGTCCAAGGTTGGTTTGGGTCCAGGTAACGGAGATACCTAAACGACAAAAAACTCAGTCAACAGTTCACATCGTGAACTTGGTATAAGTTCACATTATTCTCATACATACACACTGACGAACCAAATTATGGGAGTATTTCCCAAAGAATATAGTTCTTAAAAACAGTATAGCAGGATAAGGTAACTGTTAACGCAATATTGTGGCCTATTTTGGACTGAGTGGACAATAATACTTTATTGCAGATCAAAACACTAGTTGGCAATATTATTCACTAAAGTTATTAACATTTCAACTACATAATACCTATTTCAGGTTACTTTAATTCTATTCAAATCAACTTTGTCCAGTTTACTACTACTGTCAGGAACAAGGAGAACATTGTAATGTATAGAATGAAGCCTCATAAAGTGAGAGTTGTGTCCGACTGGTCAAAGATACTATGAATCACAGCTTGTATTTGTTTCAGTTGCAGAATGGCTTATATTTACTGGGTTGAGTAAAACTACACAATGAAACATATGACAAAGGTTAGAGTGGAAAGTACAGAGTTATCAAAAGCAAACACAGTAAGTAGGCAAGAACGTGATATATGCAATGGTTCTGTAGATAAAAAGAAATCCATATCAATAATTCAAGCTCATTTGTTCTTTGATTCGTTACTAACTGAAACAAAACTAAACTTATTTCCACTTCCTGTCTTTTTTACTGTTATTATTCAGTTTAGCTTAGCACGTTTTGAGCAATATATATTTCCATGTGAACGGAAGCACTATTGTCCTAATGATGCTAACAGATAATCAAACTAGTTTTATTGTTCATGATTTTCATTAGATAGTGTAATTCGTTACTGAAACAATCAAAATAGATTACATTTAAAACTATCTAAATTTTAGGTTTGGTTAAAATTAGACATATGCATAGTATTATTTTACCAAATAATTCTTTCTAATTATGAAACAAAAATTGACTTTACATCTTCACATTGTATTAAAACAGTAAAAACTCTAAGGCCCCTTAAATAAACCTAGCTAGATAAATGCAATGGTCATGGTATTGAATATGATCAACAACCTTATCTTAATAATACCTTACCTAATATGACGATGCAGTTAGAGTACAATATTAGAAAGAACATTCAATAAAAAGCAAAACTCAAGATAAAATTAAGCTAAAATCAACATTGAATAAGTTAGCTAGTTAACAACTAAAAATACATTGAAATAGTAATTGCTTATTGTCGCTGATTAGAAAGCTGATACATACTACTGAAATTATGCTAAAGTTGGCAGCTTTACACATGTATTTAGCGCATTAAAATGAGTTAAATAAATAATTTACAAAAATCTGTATTTCCGAATAGTTAATTTAGAAAAAGTACACTATAACATGATCCCAATGGTACATTGGTCCCTGTAACTTGAATATAAACAACAAAAAAGAAAGAAATACTGAATAAGCAAGTAGTAAAACAGATGCAGAATAAGTAGACATGAAAGATTTTAAGTATCACGAAGAGAAAACATTAACAAGCGTCTGAGTTGAACTACATCGCCGGCAAATTAGACATAGTTTCACATGGAAAAATTCTATAGCACGGTATAATAGAAAGAGGATGGAATAACTAATAAATATATAATGCCCCCAAATGCTCCGGTACTGCCGAGAGAGGGAAGAGTTCGCTTTCATTTAAATGCTCTCTCACATGGTCACATGTGTATAGCCACTACCAAGGGCTCCTACTCATTGCTTTCGGGATGTTGTTTACGGCATTGAGAAGACGAGAAGAGAGAGACCGGCACATTAACAGAGTTGGGGGGTACGGAAGACTCACCTAAAGAATGTGAGAAATTTCGATTTCAGACCAACGGTGCACATGGGCTCCAGGATCCTGACAGGAAGAATGGCGAATGAACATATTGTTGGCTACCGACTACCATCAGACTGCACACTCTGACGCAGCTTCACTGTTTAAGGGATTAAACCTGTACATTAAATAATTGAAGAGTGACCACCTTCCATGAAAACTATCTGTTTCGGTTTGGGTAGCCAGGCAATATCCAAACCTACTCACATATATAATAATTTGTGTGACGCATAAATGTTAAGGTACCGCTTTGTACCAATGTCAATGTGTTCAAATTAAATAAAAGTGATTGTATTACGAAATAAAGTACAGGAAAACTTTAGAATAGATGAAAGAACAATAAACTTAATATCGAAGAAAAAACTAGATAACAAAAACCTACTGAAGTAATTTCTTATTTTGTAACTCCAAAGCAAGGAATTAGTGACTTAGCACAATTCTAAGCTTAGTGTGAAATAGTATGAAGCCTGATTTATTTAAAATAATAGTATTTTCCAAACGATAAGACAGATTTAACCTGACTGGTTAAATCATTCAAAACTCCAGAGACAACTAAATCCAAATTTACTAGTGAAACAGATTACAATTAGAACATCGTAAGTCACGGTTTCCAATCTGATAAAGGTATATACAATTAAACAGAACAGTAACACGAATTGGGCTTTATATAAAAATGGATTTCAAACGATAAGAATGATTATCATTAATATTAATATCACAGAGAAAAGTCTTACCTTATCAAAACAAGCCACATTGATAGCTCCACATACATTGATCACGGTTGGATTGACACAAAATATTCCATGTGATCGTAAACGTCGTTGAGCCAGGACAACACCTACTGTCATCACAACAGGTAGGGCTGGTGGTACCACTACAGTAACTAGATCTAACGCTCGTCGGATAATGTCACCAACACCAACGTCAGCTCTGATCTAGAACATCAGTGCAAAACAACAAACTTATCACGTTTAGTTTCATTTTATGAGTTGTAATATAATATTCGTGCGTGATAATGGAGAGATCATATATTGAAACCGTTAACACCGGAACTGCTTAATCTGCGCATTTTTAATACCTAAATATTGTTTGAAATAACCCCGTTAAGCCCCTCCAGGGTTACTGCCGGTCCCAAGCCAGGACAAAGGAGGATGGTTGGGCACGGGGTTAGCGACCCCACTATATAAGGACATAGAATGTTCGCATATTGTGGGAGACCGTAAGAACTATTCATGTTGCTGCAGAAATGAAAAGACAACCTGGTTGTGCTTGAAATAAGTGCAACACATTGAACTCGGGTTGGATAAAAAAGACTAGCTACAGGAGAGATGTTGTTGTACTCCGGACATGAAGAGGAGGATGCCTCACTTACACAAGGAATTGCACAGATGCTATCCGAACAAGCACAAAAAGTATTGGTAATATAGGAATCTCACGGACTCAGTATCATCAAACGATCCTTCATAACAGAGAAAGACGGAATTACAATGGTCATCCAGTACTAGAGCCTACCATCGATAACGATGGGGATGATAGAGATCAATTCTATGGGAGGTTGCAGTCGATTTCCAAGAGATGACCAGCAAAAGGATTTGACCATTCTGATGAGAGACTCAAAAGCCAAGGTTGGAATGGACAAGGTCGGATATGAAGACACTATGGAACAACATGGACTGGAAGAAAAGAAAGAAAACGGTAAAAGATTTGCGAATTATGTGCCTTCAACTAACTGGTAATAGGCGGCACAATATTACCACACAAACGCATAAACAAAGCGATATTGGTTTCACCGGACCCACTCTCTTCTAATGCCGGGAAAGTATTCAACAGAATGTTAAACCGAATGAAAGATTCAACAGACGCCTAACTTCGGGATCAGCAGGCTGGATTCCGTAGGGGTCGATCGTGTACCGAAATCTCACTCGACACTACGGATCATTGAGGAACAATAACTGGAACGGAACTCATCACCATATATCAACTTCCTTGACTAGGAAAAAGCATTCGACAGCGTGCACAGAATGACACTATGGAGGTTTCTTCGACAATAAGGCGTGCCTGAGAAGATATTAAACATTATACTGAATTCTTATGATGGACTAAACTGCAGGATCGAACATGGAAGACAGCTCACAGATTCATTCTAAGGGAAGACTGGTATCAGACAATGCTGCTTATCCTCATCCTTTCTCTTTCTACTGGTGGTGAACTGGATCATGAGGACGTCAACATTTCAGAGGAAGCACGGGATATAGTGAACAGCTAGGATGCAGCTGGACTTCGAAGATAATCTAGCTCTTTTATCCCACACGCAACAACAAATGCAGAATAAAACCCCCAGCGTAGCGGCAGCCTCAGAAGTAGTAAGTCTTAACATATACAAGGGAAAAAGCGAGATCCTCCAAGACAAAACAATATACACCAACCAAGTCACGCTTGACGGAAAAGCCTCGGAGGATGCAAAAATCTTTACTTAACCGGGTAGCATCTTTGATCAGTAAGGAGGATCTAACGTCGATGTGAAAGCGCAGATTAGAGAAGTAGGGGCAGCATTCTGACGACTGAAGAACATCTGGAACTCAAAATAACTAACAACCAACACTAGTCATAATTTTCAATACAAATGTCAAGACAGTTCTGCCATATTGATTGGAAACGGAGAACTGCGAAAGCCATCATCCACAAGATGTCTACAGAAGAGACTGTGGATCTGTTGGCCAGACATCATCAGTGACAACCCACTGTGGGAGAGGACAAATCAGATTCCAGTTGGGGAAGAAATTAAGAAAAAGAGCTGGAGGTGGATCAGACACACATTGAGGAAATCACCCAACTGCATCACAAGGCAAGTGCCAACATGAACCCTCAAGGCCAAGGAAGACAGGACGACCAAAGATCACATTACATCACATCACACTTTGACTTCGTCAAATAATAAAACAACATAGAGTAAACAAGAAAAAGTTTAAACAACTTGGGAACCTTTCAGTATATTTTTCTGATCAAATGTGTGTTATTGGTTGAAAATCGGACCTCATTTTCTGACGACCATGCATCCATATTAATGAATGAGTTGTGGACATAATTTAGATTCGGTTAGCCAATAAAAGCGTCCGACTAATTATCGGGTATCTCATTATAGCAACAACTTGGAGTTGTAAATAGCAACTGGTATATCAACATCGGATGGAGATGACAGAAGACCATAACAGAAAACATTTTCAAAGAGTATTCCCTAGACTGAATACCTTTATTTCAAACATCATTTGTTAGGTGGACTGTTCAACGGATGGAGGTCATGAAACGTCCAGAACAAGTGAGGCGGTTGACTCACTCAACTACTTCACACCCTAACGTCAATTAAAGCGTTGACACGGGGAAACCATGAAGGAAAATTTCGTATTTAGAGAAAAAGAATCACATTCCAAACACGCTTGAATTATTGCTTACGACGGTGACAACACTTAGAATTATGTCAACGTCTTGACTAAACAAGACTTAATCATCTCCCTATCCTAGGTCAACAAAACTACACCCTTTACAATCATAGGCCCTTCAACCTGTCTAAAAGACAGTGTCGCATCTTTACAACACCTACGAGTTCATATACCGTGAGGATCAAGTGACGACACATGGGTTTATCAGAAAAATACTAAGTGGAACAAATTCAATTAAGCGCCTACAATGATCTATAAACGATAGGGTTAAACTCTACATAATCCAACATAAACCTATTTAAACCAATAATTAAGCTCCAGACTGAGAAAATTGTGTACTGCATGTCCATTAGATAAATTAGTGATGGCAAGTATTAGTAGTTAAGTGACATGTGAAAACAACGACACATTCTCAACGAAAAATCACTTCTTACCATCAAGTAGATTGAAACTCCTAAACCGATTACAGCGAGAATAGACAACGCGAAAATAAACCGGAAGGAATCTTGAGTGAATTTGAATTTTAGAGGTTTAGGAAAGAGAATCGACCGTACAAGTTCACCCTTCACCGTGTAAAAGCCAGTGCGTGCAACAACAGCCAAAACACGTTCATCTTCATAATTTCTTGTTTGAATAACAGTAGTACCAGCAAATAAAATATGGCGACCATGAACTTTGATATCAAATAAGGTAGCCTTTGATGGTGAATCGGGCAAGGGAATTTTGGTGACTGGAACACTTTCACCTTAATTCAAAAACAATATCGTTTTGAAATATTCACGGTTAATACGATCTCTAACATACAGTTAAAAGTGAGAATCAATACAATGCATGGGATTTGAATAATTAGAACCACGTAGTATCAGTAACAGCTGATCTGGTCGGTTTATCTAATTAGTACTTCGTTCTAACTCTCTAAACTGTCCCATCAAACACTATTTGTAAATAAGCAAATTATCTTATTTCATTATATCCCAGTGCAAGTGAGAAATCATATTCACATTTTTCGACCATATTTGTTACTTCGATGTGGATACTAATTACTAATCCACAGTTAAGGAAATAAAGTGAGTTTATATCACAGAATAAACGTGCATAAACACGGCATCTAGCCATGCAAGCACAGTTCTCCCTAGACGGAACGTCAGAATCAACTAACCAATAAAGTGTTTTTCAAGTTCAACTATCCAGCATATTTGTTACTTCACACCCAGATACAGGAACTTATATGATTGAATTCTGTCTACATAAATGAAATCTCAATACAGTCTCAATACAGTTTCGGTTATCCTTAACAAACGTTGTCTAAAACCCATCCAGTGGAAATGGTATCGTTGCTGAACTCGTCTGCAAATCATACACGAATTCCTAACTCACGTTGCTATTCCCCATTTTACCGTAAAATCAAACAATAAAAGAGACTCTCAGAAAAAGATATTGACGAATATTTCCAATCTTATTTACCAACCAGTCAGTACTTATATCGTTTCAGGTTGTCATATTATATCAGCACAATACATCAATAAAATACACAGAGGAAAAACGATCTGACCGTCATACAAAAGACCATACTCATCTTTCCATATTCATGCACAAATTACACAGTAGTCAATGCACAGCAAAAGGATAAACAGAGTGATAAATGAGATAGCTTTCCTTTCGAATGACTTTAATGACAATATATCCTAGTTCTGTAACATAATATTCCCACAAGCCAAAAAATAATAAACATCAAAAAGAATATACACTTTGATGTTGACACCCTGAATAATTCACGTTGCATCATTATCCACGTTAACATACCACAGCAAGTGGTTTACGTAATAGGTAGTGAACCAGTCACCTATTGGTTACGAAATCGGGTTCCCAATCATAAGCTCACTGGTCTAAACCTTATTTTACTTTGGCCAGTCCGGTTACATACCTAGCCCCCATAAAAACGCCATCGTTTAAAGTCAAGTACATGAATTTACACTTATCACATTAAAAAACATTAGTATCATTATTCTCGAGAATTTTCGAGAAAAGCAACATAAAAACAAAGCACATAGGTTAGACAATTAAAAAGGATAAACAGAACATAGTTCTACACACGCATCTTCATATTACTCGTGTATTCACATAAAATTTATGCGAAGATACAAAAGATTAAGGTATAGTTGACATTGATTAGCACGTGAGTACATCTATTTCTACGGAAACATTATTATGATGTAACTTACCGGTCAATGTACTTTCATTTACTATGCAGTTTCCTGCTAGTAAAATGGCATCACATTGAACCAGACATCCGTTTCGTGGAATCTCAATTACATCACCGGGAACTAGTGAAACGGAATCTATTTCTTTGAATTCTACCAAAACAAAAATTTACAAGTCATTCCTTCTCAAAAGTGAATACATAAGTGAATTATTATGTTTGAATATCTACTGCTAAATGAAGTAAAATAACCACTTTGGTTGACCATGAGAATGGTTAGACCAAACTATATAATCAATAATCTGTTATATCACAAATCCCATGATTTAGTTCAGAGTATAAGGTCACATACTATTAGATTATAAGTATTTTTCAAATCGCACATTATTGAAATAGTAAAGAGCACATGGGACAATTAAGAAAGTTATAGTACCCTGATTAAACAACACAACATCCTTTCTGTTATATACAAAGGCGGAATGTTCCTCCTCTATCTTAAATCTTGATTATGTTTTGGGGTTTCAGGTTACCAGCATGACACGTATGAATTAAGGGACGGTTGAACTACTTTAATACGACCACTTCTATTGTAGACCTAAAAACGACAGCTGGAATATAGCACTTCAACAACTAGCCGCTAACATAAAAAGAAGATGAAGTGCAGGAGGGACTTGGACAGTACGACTCAGTGCATGCTATAACGAAGAGTGACGCTGAAGAACAGAAAATTACGGAACTAACAGTAGTGGCAACCAATTGGAAACAAGCAAAAGTCATGTAATAGATTAAATCAGAAAAAAAACACTCCCGGTTACCGTTACTAGTCCCACTTTAACATAACTAACGAAAATAGAGTAATCTCGTGATCATCTTAGCACCACATCTGCATGTCAAATAGATGGAGATCCCAATGGTAGTGCTAATAATCAAAATTTTCAAAACCTGGTAGTTGAAATTTCACTTCGAATACAAGCATCTGGATATGTACATAGAGTTTTTACCAATTGTATGCGTTCATTCATGTTTGTGTACATACTAATGACGAGGAAATCAGATTTCAGATAGTCATAGCTATGGAAGCTTGTTGTCCTAATTAGCACAATTCATGATGAAAGTTTGTTTTTTATGACAATTCAATCGCTAGCTCTCAAAAATACACTTCATGCCAATATCTTACAAGGAAAGTATTTATGCAACTGCATTTCTACTTTTTGGATGTAAAACTTTCAAACTCAATCGATGTTAATCAGTACAAACGAGAACATTGACACGCAAAATAACAGTGTATGAAACATATGGGAAAGTCTGCAAAATACTCAGATATATGTTATAGACATCTAATTTGCATAATCATAAATTCTTTTGAATAGCCGAATAATTTAGCAGGCACTTCTGAGTGTAGTGTCATGTTTCATGAAAAAGTGCGAGCCAAGTCCACAGTAACGATTAGTGTTCTCCAGGAATATCCTTATCAGTATCCCGGATTAACCAGCTTTAAGAATAAGGGTGATTATTTCTGGTTAGATCCTACCTTTTAGAGACTGCGACTTCATAAAAATCTGATAAACTTAGTTCTACTATGTAAATTCCCCTAGTGGGAACACTTAGTATGCACTTCTCACTCGAGAATTTCAGGATAACATTTTAGAATTTATTTGCCGTATTATCGACTTTGACAATAGCCAGTAGAAATGTTAAACACATAGACCACTGTAGTTACTTTGGAGACTGTAAAACTATTGAGTAACTAGTCGTCAACTGACACTTTCAGACAAATGTCAATTTTAGGATCTAGTTGGTATCTGACAACATTAAAAGGCGAGTAAAATCATCTCTACTCCTGAACTGATACCTACTTCTGGTAGGCCCTATTATGTACAACTGATTGTTGTAAACTACATACTTCCCTAAGTGAACTGCTTGAAACAATCAGAACGAGCTTTTCAAGGTTAGATGGTATGGGAAATACTGTATTTTTCAACAATCTATCATCTACAGGTATATGTATTCAGTGTTAAGGCACACTTTTTCTGTAAGCACCAGCAATACTACACGGTCGCTCGGACCAAAATGCTCCCAGGAGGATTCAAACCAACTTAATAATTGAAGGTCCGATCCTCTAAACACTAAGCCACTGCATATTAACGTTAGCAACAAAAACTATGGATATCGACGATAAAACGAATAGGCTTTAAGTACAGCGATAAGTCATGAAAATTATCATAGAGAAATAAAACATGTGCATACCTTTAACCCCAAATTCTTCTCGGCAAACGATTACAGAAGACGATATGCACATAGTTTCTTTAAGAGTCCTTTCATTCTACAAAAAGGCATTTTATTACTAATGGCGCAACCCAAGTATCCCAATAAAGCATTACTGACACCGCTCCAAAAAACATCTAAATACAAAATTCCACGTGAATTCAATCAAGAATTACGTGACACGTTATTAACTCACAGTATAATGGTGTAAGATGTGAACTTACTACACAATACTAATCAATAAAATCCAACAAATTTAAGGAAACGAAGGCATAAACCATAATTTCATGGATGCTAGAAACACATAAGTTCTGTCCTATGAATGGTCTTACTTGAAATCCACACTTTTTTTACAATATTTTCAGATTCACATGCTAAAAGATAGAAACTGAAAGTGCCCCATAAAACATCATACCATGTTACTCAAGCAAATATGATTAAACTATTCTCACTCTCATTAAAATCCTATAGTGAAACTGTTATCACCAACTTCCTGGCTTTGTAAAGAAGATAACCTAATCCAGTTCGAAAAGAATACCACAAACAAATCGTTATACATGTACACAGTTTAATATGTCTGACAGTTTATCCCTTGAATAAATCAAAAATAAAAATAATCAGTACTTAAGACCTTCGTTATGAAGTAATACGGCCTCTGAAACTAAACATCTTATAGTTAGTAGTCAGCTACAAAACTATAACAACGAACATAACATTGGTTGATATCTGAAGTCGTAGATTCACTAGATGCATAATTACTTTCAGATGTCATTTCACGTTCATATACTGTACTATATAGTTATTTACATCAACCAACTCACAACTTTGTATTCAAAAGGGAAGATAATGGTAAAATCGGTTACATAGTTAGTTGCCCTATTTTTTCAACTGCACGCTGGTTGTAGACTATAAATCAAGGTTACAAAGTAGTTGCCTTAGTCCTGTGACCAGGTATTACTTGTACCATTTACCGTCTAACAATTAAATCATGCAAATAAATAAACGAAATTTCTTAAGAGGTAAACCAATCCAAGTGTTCAGCCTTAAGCCATACTAGTACATCGAAATCAGATCATCAGTTATTAAAAACTGTTAGGATAAGAAATCAGTTACTTACTCTACGTAGTTCATAAACTTGCCATGATAGTGACATAATTGAAATAACAACAATACAAGTAGCGTACATCCAGTAATTATCAGAATACCACAAAATACAGCTGAATATTTGAAAACAGTAGAATGGATTCAAGCACTAAAGACAAACGAAATAAAAAAGGAAATTTAATATGCAATACACAACAACTATTATCTAGTAACTATGACATTGTATAGTCCGATTAACTTACTTCTTCAAGTAGTAACTTGACAATTGGAGTAAGTGTAATACTGATTTCATTTATTCCATACAACGCACGATTCATGAGGACTGTTTCACTACTCAAAGGATTACAGTCCAAGATTTCTCCATATGAAGTTTCATGCCAACCCCTGAAAATTAAAGAGACAAAATGTTTGTTTTAGTTTCGATTGCATCTAATAATGACAACATTGTTGAAGATATGTTGAAAACGTTTACAGCTTTTATCTATAAGAACCTCTCTGCTATCTTCTTTCTGCCTGTACTTAAAGTGTCAGCAGAGATAAGTCGAATCTATAGATTGACTTTTCAAGGACTAAACTTCCTGATGCACGACTGTTACTGTTTAAAGCGGAATGCAAGTTGCTACCCAACTGCATGATGTTTAACATGTAACAGGAAAGCCTATGATAATACTGTTATAGAATCACATTTGGATTTAAACAATCAATGCACATCCAATCGAGTAAACTTCAAATAAATTCAATATTTTTTGACTGAAGATTACCATTCTCATACACATCAAGCTCGAGAACACTAGATTCCTTCTGTGGTCTAGACCACTATTCAACGGCTTCTCAAACCATTACCATAATTTGGTCAGGCGACCCTTAGCTTCTTTCTAAACCAATGGTTTAACACCAAGTATCTGGGAAGGCGCAGGCTGGGCAAGCATAAACCATCCCCTAAACAACGCTTTCAAAAACCCATAACTTCAACCTGTTAACCAATTTAGTAAATACTGTACACTCGACCTCATGATTTCTCGTTTCGTTCTAGTCAGTCACTTAAAACCCGTAACATTTAAAAGCAGAATTACAAATCGGATGGAAGAATTTAGTTGGGAAGTGCTATGATCGTAAATCAGTATAGTATGGCAAGGGTGTAAATGATTTCGGTAGACTAAATACTGTAAATCTACACTTTGTACAGAAGAATATCCTAGAACATTGATAATAACGAAAATCTAAGTGGTTAGAAACAAATGGTTATGCAGTGAATAAATGCCGATAATAAGTAGGAATAAGGAAATAAGACTACTAATCTAGAAGCCATTTGAAATAAAGAGTAACGATATTATGGGGTAAAAGAAAGAATTGGAGGAAGCATACATTCACAATATTTCATTCAGTCTATCAAAACCATTTACACCCAGGCTATACCACCATACTGATGTACGATCATAGTAAATTCCGACCTCTCTTTCATCCAAATTACGTTTTCACCGAAAGGATCCAGGTTATTTGCATATCATGAGTTAATTAGCGAATATCCCGACAATTAATCAACTGTTGAGAGGTCGGGAGACCAGTATCTTTTGTAAAAAAAACGTCCATAATAAGGCTAAAGACGGAAAAGATTTACTTTCAATCTAACCGTTTTCTAACCGACCTGTCTAGCATCTAATAATCTAAGGTGATCAATGCTTGTGCTAATATAGTCTAGTCTGTCCCACTTAGAGTGAGCTTGAGTACTTCGATATTAATGTAGATGGAATATGGTGTGGGACTTCGTTTCGACCAGTTACAAATATCCACTTGCTTATCATCATCATCATCATCATCATCAACAACAACAACAACAACAACAACATAGAACTTTGCTTCTACAAACAGAGATTTTTTGTGGTATTAAAGTTTAACGTCTATCTGACATAAAAACGTCCTGGAGATTTGTTTATCTTTTTTTATTATCTACGAACAAGTCTTCAACCAAATAATCGAACTATCTAAATTCGCACATAGCTCTCAAAACCTGTATTACATAACTAGACTGAAGTGTGTTTGACTAAGCATATCATATATCATAAGTCTGACAATTCACTACCCCCATTCACTCAGAAGAATGACTACCTAGAGAATTTTGCAAGCCTCTAAAATTAATGTTTGCATTCATGTAAGTCCAAACACGAAATGATAGGCGACGGCAAACCACATTTTAAGGGTAAAATATTGTTTTCAATGTGAAAAGCGTCACTCCGGACAAGGTAGTCTTTCTATTTGACTTTATTAACAGCGATTGGCTGTCAAGTAAACAAATATTCTCGTTTACTTTAATGAACGCAAACAATTGGGGGATAGGGGCTCGACAGGTGAACTTCGAAGTCCTCAGTAAAGCAATATAAATATCAGTTAATTGGGAGAACGATAAAAGTTAAAACCACGACTCATAAAAGCAGGAAATTAGATCACAGTGAATATGAAGACCAAGAGGTAATAAATGTTGGCAAAACAGTCAAAGTCAATATAAATAGAGCAAGCCTTCAGCCATTTATCTAGAAATCATAACAGCCCGATTCGTTTCAAAGCATTTTCGGATGGTTATAAAGTAAAGATATGTTGATAAATAGGTCACCTGGTTTAGGGGTGAGATCGCACTACCTCATTACCACGTTGAACAACCAAGAGACGATACAACTGCATCATCGAGATGCATCAACATTACGTCATAGTCTAGCAAAATGTGATGACTTGAACAACGGTAACCAATTTTTAAACATGAGTGTCAAGTAAACCATACGGAACAGAGAGTAGGTCGAAAAACTGTTGGATACGGAAACGCTGTTCTAATAAAACATGATAATAGGATTAGATAAACAATACAAATCGATTAGCCATTCACAAAATATGGGTTATAACTGTAGGAAAAATGTTTAAATTAGTATTACCTCAGAAGCTCAAAACGGTGATTTTCGGGATTCCACACGTACTTTAGACATTTATGTATGAAGTAGCACATTATCTTGTTATTCTAAATGATAAAATTTTTAAACATATTTACTAACATTTCCAATGCATGCTATTTGTGATTTCATAAACGACACAGATTTGCGGGCATATGAAGTTCTTGTGTAACTGTTAAAATGAGTGAGAAAACGTAATTTTCATTACTTCGTTTCTTCAACCACGTCAACAATCACATCGTGTATGAAGTAAACACCATAGGCATCCTTAAAAAAAGGTTTAATAGATTATGATCCCTAGTGGTAAAGGACAACTACCTTGACGAGAATCCTCTCAGCCTCCATCAAAGCGCACTCTTTGTTCATACACATCAGCATCCAGTGTGGAAACCAGTGAAAAACTAGTCTCAACAGTCCACATGTTAATACGATACCAGTGTAGACAAAGATGGCCCGTAGATATGAGAAAGAATAACCTGCAATATCCTTGACAAATAAACATTGCAGAATATCTACACCTACGACAAAAGTATCGTCCAGTTCGTCAATTCTCTGACGTTTAGCTCCCTGAACCCGGTTCTCGACTTTAGTTAGATCCGACATGTGCATCCGAAAGTTGATCCAGATGTCGTTTATTGTGTTAATGCTAGGAAACCATAAAGTGCACAGAGTACCAAATGCGAAATAGCCGCAAATAGCGACTCATGTGAAAAACCCAAAGTTGCGCAAATTTACAAATAATGTGCTCCTTTCGCGTACAATGTACAGTTTGAAGGAGATCAAATTCACACGAACCAAACATAATATGAATGTCAATGAAAATTTCCTATTAAGTTGAGTTTTTGAAGGCAATATCGCCTACATAATATGCGAATAATTTTGCCAACCCATTATTCATAGCAATATTATCAGTCTTTTTGTAAATAAGAAACGGAACGGAAACAAAGAACTGAGCTGAACATCAAAATTTATTTTATTTAGATAGGTTTCTATCATCTGATCACAAACTATATTGTTTTTCGATCTAATATATCTCTCTGTCTACATGCTCTTCACTCTCATGTCTGTTTGTTTAAGCGAATGTATGAAATAATGTCACAGTCTCTGCTAGATGTCTTTATTATAGTTGAGCTGAGGCTCTCTAGGATATATCCTAAAAGTAGAACATCAGCTCACGTTTCAGTTTTACCACTATAACAAAGAACATATATTATATAAAACTATCAGTTCATCTATAGAATGAATCCTTGTAAGCGTGTTATTTAATCTTCTGTTTATTTTCGCTTCAGAATCATCACCTTTGGACCCAAGTTAAATAAAACGGTCTCTTATGTACTGCAGCATTCTAAGCGTTTTGTTTACGCCCCTTCCAAATTTCCCAAAACATTTATTTGGACACCTTGTAGTGGAACGCTTCTACGAATAAAATACGATTTGTGAAAAATAAACATTATTGTACTTGTTTCGTTCAACTGTCGTATCGTTTGGTAGCAGTAAGTCATATACTACAATGCTTCGACCACGCGCTGCGAATGGCACTGTCATTCCTACCTACGGAACACAACAGCTAACTATCAACCTTAACAATCGGCGGCAGTATCTATGGACGTTCATCCCTGCTGATGTCCCCATAGCCGTACTCGGTATCGATTCCTTACAGCTCTATAAATTGCTATTCGATTCACGTAGGCTGCCTTAATCGATAGTTCGTCGAATATCAAATCCATGGTTTTTGACGCGCAAACAGATATAAACCGAATTTTTATGCATTACTATTTATTTTATGTTATATTTGATAAATTCCCCAAAGTAATGGGATTCAACTGGTGATTAATTATGTGGTAAGCCACATCATCACCTGCAG